GGGGCATGTGGCCCGCAGGCCAGGGCGTCAGACACCCGGGGACTGAGGCCCCAGGGGACTTGGGAAGCTGTGTAGCTCCCGACCAGCGCTGACCCTCTCTGTGCCCAGAGCCCCGCTCTAATCTGCTGCAAAAATCAGATGCTGACAAATGGTGGCGGCGCACACCTGTCATCCCACCACTCAGGAGGCTGAGGCAAGAAGATCTCTGCAAGTTCAAGGGCCAGCCTGGGCCACAGAGCAAGACTCTGTCTCAAAAACAACAACAACATCATCACCAACGACAACAATAATAGAGTAGAGGTCCTGGCTTATGGGGGTGTAGACTCCACCCACAGGGACAACAAGGAGGCCAGGCTGGGGAAGGGTGTGGGATGCCACCCAAGTGCTGCCCACCTCAGTGCCTTTGTCCTTGGAACATTCCCAAAAGTCACGTCTCTTTTGAGAAGCTCCCGCCATGGACCAAGGTCCTGGATGTAAGAGCAGTGTGGCCTGAGAGGTTGGGGTGGGTGAGGAGGGGACACTGGAGCTGGGGCCTTGATGTATGAGCAGGAGTTTGTCAGGCACAGACGGGACTCACAGAAGACTACAGTGTGTGAAATTACGAATCCTCCCTTTGCTGAATTCTTCCAACGCGTCATGAGCTAGGGATTTAGTAAAGATTTACAGGTGGCAGATAGAGCCCAGGGGGGTTAGGTGATTGGTCTAAGGGTCCCCTCCCTCCTTCCTCCTCCCCCTTGAGCCTTGCACCTCTCTGCTGTTCATCACTCAGTCAGTGCCTGCCCCTGTGCTATACACTCAGCCTGTTGGATAAGCAGAGATGGTTGCCTCCATTTTACAGAGGGGTAACCTCAGGTACGGGGCAGAGAACGGCTGGGCCAAGCGCACCTGGCAGGCCAACTGGAAACTAAGAAACACCTGCCCGGCCCCGTGGGGTGAGAGCCACAGGGTGGTCCCAGGGGGTCCCAGCTCCCACCCTCATCCCTCAAAGCCTGTCCTCCCCATAGCAGCCGCCAGAGGGCGCTGTGACACCCAGGTGCTCCCTTCTCTGTCCTCAGCCCTCCATGGCTCCCACCTCCCTGGGACCAAAGCCCAAGTCCTCCCTGTAGCCCACAGGGACCTGCACTGCTGCCCGTCCCCATCCTCCCCTTCTCCCTCTCTGCCCCTCTCTCCCACTGTTCTGACCACACAGGCTCCTTGCTGCACCTGCACCACACTGGGCTCTGAGCTGCCCCAGGACTTTTGCACAGCTGTGCCCTGTGCCTGCAGGCCCCTCCCCTCAGTCCTTCACACTCTGGCTCCTTGTCCTGCCGGGCTCAGCTCCCCCGGACAGGCCTCCCTGGACCCCCACTCAAGCAGCCCCCGGCCCGCTTTCCCTTGACCTTCATTTTCCTGATGCTCGAGTTTGCTGCCCTGCACCACGGGATCGCACACAGCTGGTGCCTAAGGTATGCTCACTGCCTCCAGGGTAGCTCTGCTGGCCATGTGCCCCGCTGTTGGCCCGGGCCTGCCCTAAACTCCATACAAGGCTCAACTCGTTTCCTTCCCAGCAGCCTCACTACTCGGACGCCATTTTACAGGTGGGGGGAACTGAGGCCATGGCAGAAGACACCACCAGCTGTGGGTGCAGGAAGGCCGGGGGAGGCCCCACCTCCTCCTTTGCAAATCCTCCGTCCCTCAGGTGGGGAAATTGAGACTCAAAGAAGTAAGGATTTTTTGGGGGGGGTTTCTTTTAAAATTTTGAGACAGGGTCTCACTAAGTCACTGAGTTGTCCAGGCTGGGTGTGACTCAGAGAACTTCCTGCCTCAGCCTCCCAGTGTTGGAATGACAGGTGTGCTCTGCCAGGCCCGGAGTTTTAGGAATATTCGAGGCCACCAGCAGTAACAATGGTGGTGACTCAAGGGTGCTGGCGAGCACAGCCAGCCGGCCCCAGTGCGCAGAGCTGGGCTCCATGGCTTTGCACCCCCAAGAGTGGCACGGGAATGGCGCTGGCCCCTTTAAGAGCCCCGGGCCAGGCAGGCGGTGCCACGCCTTGCATCAGTGCACCTTGCATAACCGCTTACACAAGGAGCAGACGGGCTCGGCCACGCAACGACCTGTCCCGGGCTGCGCGCCAGGTGGATGGACAGACAGACACGCGGGCAGCCAGGGGCAG